TCCCAGGGCTCAGCTGCTCCTCTGAGAGTTTGGCCTGTATTTGCTCTGAGGATCTGCTTATGCCTTTAACCCTTCTCCAGCATCTTTCCTAACCTTATTTCAAGGGCTTCCAGCTGAAGTCACAAAAGCTGAAGTCCCAAAAGACTTCTAGTTTCCTCATTCTAGAGATCTCTAGTTGGTCTTGCTTTAAAGAGCAAAGAAGGCCTGAGTTCTGGTCCTTTTTTATTTTTTTGAGACAGGGACTCACTGTAGCCCCATAGCTGGCCTGGAACTTGTTAGCTGGCCTTAAACTGACAGAGATCCTCCTGCCTGTACCTGAGATTAGCATTGACCCATCACTACCAGGAGAGTTCTAATCCTATTAAAGCAAGGAACAGTATTTCCTTAAAGAAACGACAAACTAAAAACATTGGGTAGGGTGGGGTATTTTTCCTTTCAAATCTTGCTTGGGTGAAAAGACATTTGAAGAAGCAGTTTGGGTTGAGATTGCTCAGATGAACAGAGATATATAAGTTTGGGGAATTTTGGAAAATCTGAAACTTAAAAAAAAATTTAATATTTTTAAATGTTACAGGATCATTAGAACTTGAATGCAAACTCCTGATAGTGATAAGAAAATGTTTAAGAAACTGCTAAGTAATGCCATGACTGTGGAGGGAGCCCTCCAGCTCTTCCCCCGCGTCCTTTGCGCCGAAGTCGCGGGAAGAGTGTGCCTGGCACCAAGTGAAAGTGGCTATTGTGACTTCCCGGGCCCGGAAGCGGTGGCTCAGTGCCCAAGGGCGTGACCTAGTCCAAGGCTGTGGGAAGGGAATGCCCAGAGTCCGCTCCGAGAGAGGGCGTGCTAAAGGCGGAGTCACAGGCTCCACCCCGACCTCCCATAGCTCCCCACCAGGTCCGCGTGCTTTTCATACAATTCCGCCCGGCACCGCGGTGGTCCAGGCGCGGCTTGGGGTGGCGGTGTCACTGCTAGGAGGCTCAAGCCCCCAAGGTATGACTGTGACCTCGGCCTAGAGAAGACCGAAGACCGAGCTCTTCGGGCAGCACTGGACTCTACAGGCTTCCAACTCGGATCCAAAGTCTCGGAGTTCAGAACAAGTGAGCGACCCAGAGACTAGGTCCGGGTGGCCAGCCATGGCTGCGCCCGCCCGCCGTCTGTGCCACATAGCCTTCCACGTGCCGGCCGGACAGCCCCTGGCCCGGGACCTGCACCTACTCTTTGGCTTCCAGCCTCTGGCGGTACGGGAGGCAGGCGGCTGGCGACAGCTGGCCCTGCGCAGCGGAGATGCTGTCTTTTTAGTGAACGAGGGCGCCGGGCCCAGCGAGCCACTGTATGGCCTGGACCCGCATCACTCGGTGCCCAGCGCCACGAGCCTGTGCTTCGATGTGGACGATGCAAGCGCCACCGCGCGAGCGCTGGCGGCTCGGGGCTGCAATGTGCCAGTACCTCCCGTCAGCGTGAGGGATGAGCATGGCGCAGCCATCTACACAGTGGTCAGCTCTCCGGTAGGCAGCCTTAGCCTGACTTTGCTACAGCGTGCTGGCTACAGTGGCCCCTTCCTACCGGGCTTCAAACCCCTGCCCTCCGCACCTGACCCAGGCTGGGTCAGCCACGTAGACCACTTGACCTTGGCCTGCAGCTCCGGCAGCTCCCCTGCACTTAGGCGCTGGTTCCAGGACTGCCTAGGTTTCCAGCACTTGCCGCTGAGCCCAGGTGAGGATCCAGAGACCGGCCTCGAGGTGGCAGCGGGGTCCGGTCGTGGGGGACTGCGGCTCACTGCCCTGCAGACCGCGCCGCACGGCATTGCTCCCAACCTCGTGTTGGCCGAGTCCTTGCCCGGGGCCACCAGGAGACAGGACCAAGTGGAGCGGTTCCTGGCACGCCACAGGGGGCCAGGCTTGCAGCACGTAGGGCTGTACACTCCCAACATCCTTGAAGCTACTGAAGGGATAGCTGAGGCAGAGGAGGCAGGCTCCTAACGCCTCCCAAGTCTTACTACCAGCAGCCTGGCAAAGAGGAGCAGATCCTAGCCGCAGGGTACAAGCCTAGCCTTCTGGATCGACAGGGAATTCTGCTAGATGGTGATAAAGACAAGTTTTTGCTTCAGGTCTTTACCAAATCTCTGTTTGCTGAGGACACCTTCTTCCTGGAGCTGGTTCAGAGACAGGGGGCCAAAGGCTTTGGCCAGGACAACATCAGGGCACTATGGCAGTCCGTGCAAGAGGAAGCTGCCAGGGCCCAGGGAGCCTAAGCCAAGCCAAAGCTGGATGCTGCTACTTGGAGCCCAGGCCTGCAGGCTGGAGCTGACACAGACCCAGAGAACACACCCAGCTAGTGACCTGGCCTTCAGCCCAATCAGTGCCTGCCAGTGCAGGGTTTGCTGATTTCATAAGGGGCAGGAATTTTTTTTTAAATTTCACCATAAAATAATATAAATAGGTGATATAAAGAATAAAGGGATTACATCATAGAACACAGCCAATACTTTTGGAGCTTCTGTGTCCTGTTTCCTTCCTACCCACTCCTCAAATTTTGTGGTTATTACCTTTGCTTTCTGTATTTTCACTACATACAAAATGTACTCCCAAACAAATGATTTAGTATTTGAGGAAAGAGTTTAAGACAAATCCTCTTCTGTGCTGACCTCCCCCTTAGGGAGCAACTGCCACAGGTGAAGACAGACTGTGTTGGTTTAGTCCAACTACCTGCTCTAGGGTGATGCCACTGTCCCAATCAGAGCTGACCTGAGACCCAGAATGGAGGTGTTGGGTGTTAGTCGCTGGCAGGTGCTCTCTGCTGGTGAAGTAAAAAAGCAGTGGTCAGAACACCTACCTGCCCAGGGCTGTCTAGGAGTTTAGCCATTGGAAAGTCAGGAACAAGCAGGACTTTACTACT